TGAGACTCCGCATTGCGGTATGCTGTGGCGTTCGTGCATTACACTGCCGTTCTACCCACTGGCATCTCGCCACGAGCAAATAAACGAGCGAGAGTCAACGACAGCGACAGCCGACAACGCAGCTTTACTAAGCAACTGGGTTAATTACCTGATGCTTCTGTCTCATGAAAACAACGCAGAACAAGCTGTCGCAATGGGGCCGGGCTGTCGTAGGTCGCGGTACTTACACGGTGCGGGGACAAACGCGCGCGCGGCCGTCGTTGTAATTAACCATAACGCCACGCCCACTCATCAGCGGGACGAATCGCTCAAGCGCCACGTCACACTGCCTCGTTGCTGCCGCGTTGGTGATGGCTGCGGTCACGATGATGATGATGTCGCTGCGTGAAAGAGTCGTTAGCAAGCCCCAGCACACGCTTAAAACGGAGACCGCGCCCACCATTTTCCATCATTAGCGCGCAACCTTTTCTCCGCTCTCCTCCTCTTCTCTCTCGTGCTCTCTCTCTCTCTCTCTCTCTCTCTCTCTCTCTCTCTCTCTCTCTCTCTCATGCTCTCTCGCTCCATCGTCATCGTTTTCGCCAATTCATTACATCCGTTGTGACTGTTGTTGCGATGTAGACATAAGGCTGCACACCAGCAGACGACTGCTTGGTGATGAATTTGATTGCGAGTCAGTGTGTCAGCGGAGCAGGAGCGCGAGTATATAGAGAGGGGTCTGAGAGAGTGGTACAGACATCTTTCCGTCTGTAGCCGTGAGTAGCTCGACAGTTGATCAGTCGTCAGGTGAGTACGTAGACGCACTAAATACGAATATTAGAGAGAAAGTAGAGAATATTAGAGAATGAGAGTGTATGTGTGTGTATGTATATTGTCGCCAATGATTCTAAAATGTGTAACTAGATACATGTTAATAAGATATGTTAATATTTCTACTCGATAATAAGCGTAACGGCATATTGTTAATACGAGCAACTCGATATTATGTTAATGCAATTCTTATACAATTTTTGTTAGATTTTCATACGTTTGCAAACCTATGCGAAATGTTGATAATTGAAACGTTTCGTTTTCAGTTTTCACGCCTCACTACAGAAGAGAGACAGTATGCGCGAAATGATTCAACTGCTATTGGCCGTAAGTTATTTTCGTCAAACTAGCAATATCAATTCGAAAGGAAAATGAGAGCGCGTTGTCCAGCGGAGACGACTAGCGGGCGTAACAACACTATGTTAAACCCACCACGCTTTTACTGGTAGCGCTTGCAATCGGTGACAGAGGTGGCGGTTGACTTCAGTGGTAGGTTTCGGTAGTGATGCAAGCCCAGCCGAACTCGTCATGAAGCACAGAGCTCGACTCTGTCGGCCGTTGTGCCTGCATAGATTAATACGATCAGAAGTACTAACTTCCTTCACAACAGTCGTGGCGTTGCAACTAGCATAGGTCGCTGATCGGTCGGCATGCATATACACAAATAATGATGAAGATAGGTGGCTAGGAACGTGGCCACTAACTATTAATGATATCCTAACTTGTGTGTCATCGTGTTAGTAAGTAGCTGTTATAATTAACATAGCATTCAGTTACCACATGCGCTCTCTCGAACTTCTACTATAATCAGTGCGACGAGTTAGCGCTTCAATAATAATAATAATAATAATAATAATAATAATAATAATAATAACGGTATCGGTAATCATGATTCGTTTGTATAATTTTTTCCGTATCCAGTGTTTCCGTAGCATCGTTGTAAATTTTTTCCTGACCACCAGCGGGTTTATCCAGACATCAGTATGATTATTATGATATCAGTTATGATGATGATTATGTACCCCGCTGGACGCTCCTTCCCTTGTCAGTCACCCTATCCGTCCATATGGTGTATATAAGCTGATGTATAATTCAGGTGATCATCGATCGGCCGTATTTCTCGGCGACCGGCTGCGGCGATGTATTCATTACCTCCGCCACGGAGTGGAGCGGAGGTAATGTAATCGGTCTCGTGTGTGTGTGTGTGTGTGTGTGTGTGTGTGTGTGTGTCCAGTCCGCGCGGCGCGATCGCCAGCGCGTCGAGTCAACGAGCGGCGAGTCAGCAGCAGGCGAGTGAGTCAGCAGCAACCACCAGCGAGCGGCGAGTCAGCAGCCGCCACCAGCGAGCGGCGAGTCAGCAGCCGCCACCAATGAGCGGCGAGTCAGCAGCAGGCGAGTCAGTCAGCAGCAGCCAGCAGCGAGCGGCGAGCCAGCTCGTAACACATACATGTTACATGCTGGCGGAGGTATGCACTCTCCGTGCGTGCCTTCTGTCTAGTTATATATGCACGGCGGCCCGGGCTTTCCATCGGCATAATACGTGATTGCTGTTCGCTATGCGGCTCGGGCCCACACCGAGCATTGCTGGCTAACATGCTCCGTACACCAGCAATCAGTGCTGCGGAGCGCACCTGCCGACAGCGTGCGTCGCTAATGCTTATTATTGTGATGATCGCATCGTGTTTTATTCATTTCCGGTTGCGTGCCAGCGTGTGATGAAGTCACGGGGCCCGGTGAGAACTAAATGAATTAAACTATAACGTCATGAATGTAAAATTCCGCGCAAGGGTCGCGTAGCTTTCATGTACCTATAGATACGTACTTACCAGAGATAGCAATAATATATATATAATATATATATATATATATATATATATATATATATATTTATATTTATATATATATATATATATGCCAATAGAATGTGTTAAACGTGTGACCATCCAGGCGTCATCTGTCACAGTGAATATAATATACGACAATGAAAATTGCGCGAATCTATCATAGTATGAGATCGATTACACGCGTTCAAAAGATTATCGATCGAACGAGAACGAATCGATTTAATTCAATGTAGTTTGATTAACATTAATATATTAAATTTGATATAACTGTTCCATACAACAAGGTATCTAGGATTATCTAACATTGCACGCTGCAGAGCATATATGTAACTGCCAGTATCAATCAAGGATCGAGTCTGAACCGATTCGACTTCGATGAAACCGTCGTAGCATTTCCATGTGTAAACTAAGTCTTAGATATTACAGGATCTCTTCCGCCTCACACAGATATTACTTATACAAATAACAGATGGGCCTAGATCTACTCTGATCTATTTTTGCTAGTATTAGTGAGGTAATAATGCGAGCCCATTATATCGGGCGCCCCCGCGCGCACGCGCGCGCGCGTGTGTGTGTGTGTGTGTGTGTGTGTGTGTGTGTGTGTGTGTGTGTGTGTGTG